AGAGTAGTGCTGTTCATGTACAGCTCTTACTTCATAGCTCTCCCACTATGTCATTAAGTACTTTGCAAGCCAGCAGGGGACCTCATCCAGTGAAAAAAGCAGTAAAATACAAAAACACCAAAGATGTACCAATCCACAATATACTAAGGGGAAAACATATTCTGTATTCCTACCCTTAACTTCACACGTAAGAATACAAGGAATTCTCAAGAATAAGACACTTTGCTGAATTCTGACCACTGTATGTCCTGTTACACCAACACTGCAGAATGCCAGAAGTGCTGTGTCCTGGTGAGGGAGGGATCTGTGCTGTCCCTTCAGAACAGGCTTTTATGGCACCTTCAATCCCTCTTACCCTGACAAGCAGTGGGAACAGTGAAATGGACTTGTTCTCTCAAGTGCAAGGCAAAAAGTTACTGGTAACAAAAGACAAAGTCATAAACCACTTTGTTTTCACCTGTTCTAAGAAACTTAAAATTCCTGTTATCCTGTACGGCTAAAAAGAACAGTGAAGCCACAAAGCTTATAACTCCAATATTCTCATTTTTATCTCTTCTCATGAAAAGTGTCTTTTATTACGTTTACATTTGCTCAATTCAGAATGTGTTCAGCTGTTAGGAGTGTTAGATATGCACTGCTTCTTTCACATTAAGAAATAAGGTAACTCTAAGTCACGTACAGCAATTTCTAGCCAAAAAGAGGAGAACAGCAGTTAGACACATTGCAGTGCCTCAGAAAGGATGAACAGTTCACTAGAAATTAGACAGAAAGGAAAGTTAACCATGCTTGAGATATCACACATGCTCCCATTAGATTTAAAAAGTTGCTACATTTTACAATAAACAAGCACATGACAAATGCAATGAGCCAAAACCAAAGAAATGGGCATACCTAAAGTCAATCTTCTAGAAGATGTCAAGACACACAGCAACAGATCATGATTTTGCAAACCAAGCACAGTTTTACAGGGTCAGTTCTTGGGTGAGAAACAGTTAAATCAAATTCACAATTAGCACTAAGTTATTCAAATTATTTGCTGAACTTTCCTCTAAATGTCTTATCAACTGGCACAACATTCCTTGGTGCAAGGTATGTTGAAATAAGCTTTTTCCAAAGGCTGTCATTGTTAGCTTTTATCTTCTTTAGAATAAGACACTTAAACATACAGTTTTTGCCTCCCAAACTTGCTCTTGAACAATACTTCTCACTCATTTACCCTGTACAGTGTTCCATTTACAAGCAAAACAGCTGCCACATATCACCCACCTCAGCAAGCAGTGCCCCATCAGTAGCTCGCTCCCTCATCCGCACAAAGCGTAACTTTAAAAGCAGTGTAGTTCAAACTGCCTTTCAAACCCCGTTTGCTTTTTAAGCAGCTTGTTAAACTACACAAAACTCTCTTGTGAGTTTAGAGATTATGTCCCCCTTTCTATGCATTTGATCATGCAACCAGTCTGGAAAGGAAGCATCATCTTGTCAATTAACAGGCCTTGAAACTTCGCCTTCAGTTAAAGCACAAACAGCTCCACAACCGAGCCCTATAGAACAGATCTGCCAGCAAATACTTTTTTCTTTTAGATGCTGCTGCAAACATTCTAGAAAGGTTATACTTTGTCATACAAGCAATAAAAGCATGCCTGGACACAAAAAGAGAAGTGAACTGAAAAATAAATTGTACTTCCACCCACCATCCTACTACCTGCCTGTTTTACCCTGCACTAGCAAACATCCAGGCAAACTACACATAAATATTGTCAAACTGGAATACATCCTCATCTGCAAAGATGATCTGGCAGTGCAAGACATCTCTGCTAAATAACATCTCTCAATAGTCAAGTTACACTTTGCTTTATTTCATGTTACTAAGCTTTGCTTCCACCTCCTTGGACCACCCTAAGGGATTCTTCTCCGTTATGTTCTTCAAATACATGTGGATAATAATATCTCCCACTTAGATATCGTTTAGCCAAGTTTCATGCATTTCTTTTCATCTTCTTTCCCTCATAAATCAATCCCTTCAGCCTCTCCAACATTCTTGCTGCTCTTCCCTGAACTTCTTCCAAAGTACTGACATCTTTCAGCAACTGAGGAACTTCCAATTGCATGCTGTACTCTAGATGTGCTTTTTGTACTCTAAAGAAAGATAATTATGTCTTTTCAAGAAATATTAATGCTCTAAGCCTGGAATAAATCTAAATCAGGAGTTTCATTATTTTGGGGTTTTTTTTCCAGAATGGATAGTAATTATGCCTGTTTCACAAAGCAGAAGAGCAGAGAGAAGTATCTGACTTACTGCTGCACACAAGCAGTGCCAGAGTAAGAACAGATCCACGTTCTGCCATTCCCAGTTGAGGTCTGCCAAGTTTCAGCCCACAGATGACACAAGACAAAGCTCCCAGGCTGATCTATGGCAAACACAAGCCATTTCCAAGAGAGTGTGGAAGAACACTTGGGGAGCCCAACACTTGCTCCATGTGAGAGGGTGTTGTGGGTACCAGAGGGACCATGTTGATGTGCCCTAAGATGTGCCATGGTCTATTATTACCTTTAGCAGTCAGGACACAAATCTCTTACACATCTCCTTGATTTTTACTGGCATGGAGAGGTTTGTTTCTAGAACCAGTCACCAGCTATCATCAGGTCAACTAGCTGAACAAGCTAACTCAGTTCTAGGGGTTGACTGGTTTTAAACACAAGAGGACTGATGGACTGCCAGGCTGAGGCAGTACAAGGCAGTTTTCAACCTGGACATTTCCTTTCCTTCCCTCTTACTCTCTGATATGTTTCTGAAGAAATCACAGAAAAATAACTTCAGAAAAATTTTAAAAAAAGGTCTACCCAAAAAAATATGAAAGAGACTGTATGAGAGGAGGCAAAGATGAAGAATGGGGTAAGGGAAAGAGAAGTCTGACCAGTGAAATTAAAAAAAAAAACAAACCAACAACTAACAAACAGGGTGCAGACTCATTAAAAAAGCAACACTGATCTAACAAAGGAATGTGAACTGCAGTTGACTCAAGCAGTATCACAGCAATGGCCCTCCCCCTACACACAAATCTCTGGAACTCTTAAAGAGACAGGTTTTTAGGCTATTTCAAATTCTGTGCTTCTTTTCCATTCCTTGATACCCTCAACCTGACTGAATTTAACTTACTGCCTTTTCTTTCCAAACAACAAGAGCACCCAAGTTTGACCCAGACTAAAGCAAAGCAAACTAAGTTGTATTATTCTGCCTACTTTAGAGAGGTATTAAATTCTAGCATTCTACCACATATTCTTCTCATTGAAAGAATAAACCATAAAGGGTCCTCTGTTTCAAGGTCTGCTGTTGAACACCTGATGAGTGTAACCAAGATTAGATAACAAACACCTTGGTGAAAGGTATCATTTCTTCCCACTAGCTTAATGGACAGAGCAAAATGCCATTATCTAAATCTATATACAATTTTCTTAATGTAACTGCTGGTTGACAATTACAGTTCCTGCTTAAATCCACAAGGGTGCCAGAGACTCCTTTTAAGGCTTCTCCCTGTCCCAGGAAGAACCATTTCCTCCATCCAAAAATGTAGAAATGGCAATGTAAATGCCATCCTCCTGTTCTTTTTGTTCATCAGATTTTTGCCTCTGGGAGAGAAAAGTGACTAAGAAAGTTACATAACTACATTTTTAAGCAAGACACCATCTTGATTTTCAGCTTTTCAGCTCTAAGGTCATCTATGCATCATTTCATCACCTACCTAAAGGTAACTCAGTGAATCCCCAAAATCTTTGCTATACCAGAAAACTAAAAGCAAACACTTATCTGGTGCAACCTTTTTCTTTAAATGTGAAGTGTGATTGCTAATTAGGCTCTCAGAAGCCTTACCTATTTGTAAAATCTAGCATTTGGTTACAAAACTAGAAGTACAGCTAGGATAGAACACATGAGATATTTTATACAGTCAGAAATTCTTATCCTGTAATAGGAAGAAGAAAGAAAACTTGCAGAGGGTCAAAATTAGAGCAGTTGCATCACACTCTAAATGAAATGGAAAGATAGTCCATCTTCTGCAAGGAATCAGGAAACTTCACCTCTCTCTGAAGATCAGTGGCTATGTTTGCTGTCATAGAACACTGTAATTTCTTTTCCCCACTTGTTCAACAGAAGCAATCTTGCTCATCTCCCTAAGAGGGTGGGGGATTAACTAGTGACAAATGGGCTGAAGACAAAACTGAAATACAAAAGTACTGCCTGGTATCCTTAAAATCTTATCCTGCAATCTCAGTTAAATGCAACACCTATTACTGCCTTTTGAAAAGGCTCAGAACTACTCTCCTGCTGTAAAAGAAGGAGGAAAAAAACCCCAGTAAATGACACTTATAAACTCTAGCACCCATAATTTCCCATGCTCTAACCTAAGGAGGCATAAATCCTTCCTGTAATTCAGCAAGGATGAAAAATACAGTCATATATAATATTATAAAACCAGGAGACACAAGCAATAAAAAAACTCTCAAGATGTCCAAAACCCCATTTATCAAGCAGTTTTTGCTTGAAGGCAAGTTAGGTAATAACATGCAGAACAGAGCCAATTTAAGGAACTTGCATCCAATATACTCTATTTAATAAGCAGCCACAGGTAAAAATGATTGCAGGTTTGCTTTCTTCTATTTGTTCAGAAGGGCTCTGGTGCAAATCATACATACATTAAGAGAGGAGAGATTGCCACAAACCTCTCTGGGCACAGCATGATTTCTGTGTTAGTGCCACTTAGCAAGAAGTCATTTTGAGACCTGAGTTTGTTGACACAGGGGATGTGTCTTCAGGCCACTCAGTCTCACACTGTAAGTCACAGCCACCATCATGTAATTACAAGAGGTACAGTCCCCACCAGATCACTGCTCCAGCTGGCTGTGAGCTGGTTTCAAAACTTCAGGTCACTGGTAGCACTTCACCTTGCAGCATGGGAAGTTCCTCTACAGTGGACATAGATTGTTATTAGTTAACTGCTAACACCTACCTGGAATTCGGATTTTGAATTTACCACTTTGTCCAAAACCACCATCTATTATTCCATCTTCTCCTGTTGACAGTTTCACTTTCAGACCCACAAAAATCTGGATGTTTGTTTCCTTTTTAAACAATGAACGACCAATCACATTGTAATCGTCCATCACCTGCAAAAAAAAAAATAGGGATTTGTAACCCCACAAGCTAAAGTGACAGGAAATTATCCATGTTACATGCTAAGTTTGGCAACTTCTACCACTCCACCTTTGACAAACCATTTACCCCCAGATGAGCAAAACTCTGGGTGAGTCATCTAAACTGCTGAGTTTAAGGCAATTTGTGTCTAAAACCATAGAAGATTTTATGAGCTAACACATTTCTGCTTCTACCTCCCTTATCAAAATATAAGAATAATAAAACCTACATAAGAACATGCTGTAAAGATCAGTTAATTAAAATATTTTTTCTGCTTTGAAACCTTTCCATGAAAGTCACTGAAGTACTTATGCTGACAAAAAGTTTATTCCATTATTTATTCTACAGCTAAGTACATTATCACCTACATAAACATTCTTTCTCTTAGCTCCAGACCTGCATTCCAACAGCTACACTTCCAAAGAAATGACATAGCTTCTAAAAAGAGCCTTTTAAATACTCACCTTTACATACATATTGATCTGTTAAACCAAGAGCCTTATGACCACTATATCCAATTTTAATTTCAAGGTTTGTAACCCAGTGGGAAGAACCATTCCAAGTTGAATTGTTAATTAAGCTATCAGGAACAAGAGGCAGTGAGGTTGGTGGGTGAGGCAAGATAAACAACCCTCCCTTAGGCATTACAAAGTATAAGGTGCAGTCAAGTGAGCCTAATCCTGTAGGTGTGAATATCCTTGTACACCCAATGCCTGCAGTTACTCTGCCTTGTAGACACAGAAAGAGCATTTATTTATCAGAATAAATACGGGGATATTACTTCAATCTTTCCAATATTATTTCTCGTGGTAAAAGTTGCAGCTTTTCTTCACATCTCAGGAACCAAAGTGACTTAGAACAGTAAAGAATTATAGTCAGTTCTGAACACTCCCCTTTACTCAGTTTAAATGAACTCAAAATATTGATGACTCAAAGTATTTCCAGTTTCTTAAGCAACTCTCCTTCCCTGAAGCCTCCTCCATAAACTATAATGCATATAAAGACTCAAATCCCTAGGATTATTATTCTTTTGTTACATATATATACCTCCATTTTAATGCCAATCTCAGGATGGTAGTAAATCTAGCATCAGAAATTTCATTTTTGTTTTATTTTAAACAGAACTTACTTGCTCAGCTATAAAGAGTCTTGAAAGGGCTGTGCAGTATTGGAGAGCACAGGCAGGACCTCCCCCTGCCCAAGACCAGGTGCAGGATGAGAAATATCTACAGCCCTTCTTGCTTCTGCCACGTGGAGAGGACAGCAGGACAGGCAGCTCTGCTCTGGGCTGGGTGCAGAAACACTCAGATGCCTCAACAACACTCACTGCCCAAACTCCTCATCTTTCCCCAAAAGGACACATTTATGGTTTTTTGTTGTGTCTGTGCTCTCCCACTGCTTCAAAACAGCTTGAGAAGCATTGATGGCAGTATCACTGCGCAGCAACTTTCTGGCTTAAATGCAAAACTGAATAATGTCTTTTTCTAGAGCCCCTGATAATAGGTGGAGGTTGAGGGGGGAGATAAGCTTTCAGGCACACCTCCCTTTCTTTGGCTAGACTAGAAGAAAAAGAAGCTGTTAATTCCAACCTGAAGAAGCACTTACATTCTCAAAACCAAATTTTTTTTCCAGTTGCAGTGGCTGGAGAAATTAAAACCTTACTTCATCCTACAAATCTTTTATTCCTAAAACAAGAATTTTAAAACTGTTCATCTCTCTTGTCCACTGCTGGCTAATGTTTCTTTCCCCTGTGTTTGAAATACAGATGGTACAATATGCTCCAGGGAGGATCTGTAATATATCTATTATTTGTGCAGTTATCCCTCAAATGGCACAGGAAGCCAACATTAAAGGCCAACATCTTTCTAAGCATCTTTTATTTTTCCAAGAGCACTTCAAAGTTATCTTTAACTTAATTAAAAATGGAATTACAGGACGAGCAATCATACCAGGCTAGCATGGCTCAGTTTAGAGTCTCCCCAGCAAGGCTGTCAAAAAAAACTCCAGTGACTTCTGTGAACAAGTGTTACAGGCATCAAGTACCTTAGAGTAAACCAGCAATGATAACCTTTAATTGAGTATTAGAACAGAAACAAACTCTATCAGCATTCAGTTATGCCACACTCACTTAAAACCTCTGAATTAAAAAAAAACCCCTTATCTTTTATAAAGAAATGTGTTTTTTAGGGTCTTGCTCTTGTACATTCAGTACAGGAGAGTAACCAAGGACTCCAGCTGTGCTGTTCTTTTCACTCTAATAGTCACAGAATCACTGGGCTGGAAGAGACCTCTAAGATCAAGTCCAAGCCATGCCCTAACACCTCAACTAAACCATGGCACTGAGTGCCACATCCAGTCTGTTTTTAAATACATCCAGGGATGGTGACTCCACCACCTCCCTGGGGAAGACAATTCCAGTACGGCACACTGCTGGCTCATGTCCAGCCAGGTGTCACCAGCACCGCCAGGTCCCTTTCTGCCTGGGAGCCATGCTGCTCCCAGCCTGTAACATTGCAGGGGGTTACTGATTATTTTGTAGCCAAAATGCAGGACTCAGCACTTGGACTTATTAAACTTCATCTTATTGGACTCTGCCCATCCATCCAACCATTCCAGGTCTCCCTGCAGAGTCCTCCTGCCTTCCAGCAGATCGACACATGCTCCCAGCTTAGTGTCACCTGCAAATTTACTCAATCCCCTCATCCATGTCATCAATAAAAACATTAAACAGAACTGGCCCCAGCACAGATCCCTGAGGGGCACCACTGGTGACTGGCTGCCAGCTGGATGCAGCACCACTCACCACCACTCTCTAGGTCCCGCCATCCAGCCAGTTCTTAATTCAACTTGTTAAAAAAAAAAAATAAAATCCCTCCTTTAACCAATGAATACATTCTGTAGGTATCACTATGATTCCTTGGGCATCTCTACAGGCCATTAGGAACAAAATCACTTTAGTGGTGCTGAGATAATAAGTGATCAGTGACTTGCCTGACTGGATGTTTGGAATAAAACCTCTATGACCCCAAGTCTCTGTCTCACACACTAAATACTACACACCCCATCCTGTGCCATCCTTGCCCTCCAGTGAGCCTATCACCAGTTTATCCCTGACAAAGACAAAATAACTAGAAAATGCCTGTCCTAACAGGAACTAAGATAACTGGATCAGTCTTTGCATTAAAATAAATGAGTGTAGCAGAGAATTGCTATGAAGGAAAGCTCATTTTCTCAACTTTAAGACTGCATTAGAAAATAATAAAAGAAAAATTATATTTTTGGTTTAGCTTTGCTTTGTAAAAAGGGAAAGAAATGCATGTTGTTCTCTCTAACTGAAACTCAACACTTCCAATTACTTTACCAGCAATTTACCTCCAATCGCGGGATTTTAAGTTAATCCCCTTTGAGTTCTCAGAACATCTACAATGGCAATCACTTTGCCTATTAGCTGAACAGCCTTTCGGGAGAGCTTTCTGCTTTTCTCTCAAACAGTCTTTCTTTTGGTATAAAATATTATGAACTTACAAAGCCAAACGCCACAAAGACAGTAAGGGATCCGCAGTCTGCTCTGGAGCAGCAGCAAGGGGCCTAGCAATGAGGGCAGACTAATTTTATTAACTTCAGGGAAACTTCAAAAAGCTTTAGGGCTTTAATGCCAGACAGAGACGACCCCAAAAGTCAGTTTAAGTGCTGCATAAACAAAGGATTAGGGCAAGAAAAAGCTGAAGGCTCCTTGCATTTCTTGTTTATATTGTCATATGACCTAGTAGGAGTGGGAGAGGGCTGCCTCTCTGACTTTAATCCCCCATGGTGTACAGTGGCGTTTCAGTTCACTGACCTACATTACGATAATATTTTTTTAAATTTATGGGCAGAGGTGCAGTATCAAACTCACTTAAGGACGTTGAAAAAAGAAAAGGGGCAGGATGGGAAAAATACCCAGAAGAGAAATTTTCTGGCTGGTATAGTCTCCCCCTCTCACTTAGGTTAGATCAGCAGCTTAGAAAAGGATTTCAAGTTCAAAGGGAATGTCTCTGTTACTCTTGTTTTATGGCTTAGACCAGAGGACACAATAGCACTGAGTTTATGAAATATCCCTTCCCACTTGGCTTTTGTGTTTGCACAAAAAAAAGTAAACAGTGCTTTATAACCGTAGGTGAAGTATGTGCATCTCTGGCACATAACCCTTGTGCTGAAACCAAGAAGTTAGCACAAAAAAAATAACCAACTTGCACTCCTCATCTCTTCAGTACTTACCCTGCCTTAGACTGTTTGCAAACCCACGGTTCACGTTAAGTGTTGGAATTCGGTGCAAACCATAGTATTAATTCCAAGGAAAAACAAACTCCAGGATGCCCCTTTGAGCAGGACAGCAAGTTCTACTGTCCAGCCTGTTAAACAAGCCTCCTTTTTAGGATCATTTAGAAATAACTGTCACCTGAACACCTTCACAAACAATCCATCACATATTTTGAGAGCAAATAACTCTCATCTCATAATGTATCTGTAGGGAAAAAAAAAGTGGACCAGAACAGAAACACACAAGGAAAAAAGTGGTGCCAGTATGAGAGGGAAGTAAGGAAAGGCTTAAGACAAAGTAAAAACACTGAATATTAAATACTAGAAAAGACAGAAAGAGAAGGAATAACCTTTTCTGCTTTAATAAAAAGTTACATGAGTTTAAAAAGAAAATTTTTTTAAAGGCCTAAGGATTATTCTGAGCAAACTCATAAAAGGTTCATTGGAACTAAAGAAGAAAAACAACAGGAGAGAAAAAAAGAACAAAAAGAACCTGTGACTAATACTGAAAATACAAAGCATTTTTATTACTTTTTTGTACGTCAGAAAAAGTACACTTGAGACATCTTCATCATGATCAGTGACAGCTCATTTATTTCTAGAAAACAGTTTCAAGCACTTTCCATTTCTGGTTCAGAAATGGGAATATTTTTGAGGCTGCAAATTCCTGTTC